AACCTCCAGCTCTTGGGCTTAGGCGATTCTCTTGCCTCAGCCTCCTGAGTAGCTGGGACTACAGGTGCCCAACACAATGCCTGGCTATTTTGTTGCTGCAGTTTGGCCAGGGCTGGGTTTGAACCCACCCTTGGTATATGGGGTCAGTGCCCTACTCACTGAGCCACAGGTGCCCACCCAACCTCAGACTCTTGAGTTCAATTGATCCTCTTGCTTCAGCCTCCCAAGTAGCTGGGACTATAGGCACCTGCCAGAATGCCTGGCTATGTTTTAGAGACAGTGTCTTGCTGGTCTTGAACCTTGAGCTCAGACAATCCACCCACCTCAGCCTCCCAAGTGCTAGGATTACAGGTGTGAGCTACTGCACAGGACATTAATATATACATATATATATATTTTTTTCATCTGAGACTTTAGTTGGTATAAGGAATCTTTTCCTAAACTATATAAGAAAATACCAATGAAGAAGTTGTTTTCAACTATTTAGTGCTGCTGTTCAATGCTCTATTTGCTTACAATGATAAAAGCTATTTGAGATAGTTCTAACTTTTTATTAACATTTTAGAAGAAAATGACATTTTAGAAGAAAAATTACTGGTCACTAAGGCAATATGAATTTATAAGCAGCAAAATAAGTTCTGATTCCTGAACTGGGTAAACATACACATTAGTGTGTGTGTATGTATGTATGTGTGTGTATGTGACAGGAGGAAAAATTTAGCTTAATTCTGTTAAGAGGAATTCCCCATATATATATATATATATTTTTTTTTTTTCTGTTTTTGGCCGGGGCTGGGTTTGAACCCACCACCTCCGACATGTGGGACCAGTGCTCTACCCTTTGGAGCCACATGTGCCACCTGGAATTCCCCAACTTCATCATTTCCCTAGTAGGGAGGGAAATTCTGACCCCTGGAAGCAGGAGAGAGTGGGACCCGGTCTCTTTCTCTCCTTGTCTCACCTACTCCTCTTAAGAACTCATCTAATAGATGAGATGAGCATGTTGGGATTAACCTCATCTAGCTTTGTTCTTTTGCCGAGAGGTCTGCTTGTAGCTGTTAACTTTGGAGAAGACTTTTACTAACTTACCCACCCTACTTATGTCTTTCTACATTTTTAACCAGCCTTATTATTAAGACTGTTGCCTTCTCAACCATTTCAAACCTTAGAGAGAAAGAAAGATACATTTCCAAACCCCAAGACTACATGCACATATAACAAGGCAACAATACTACTAAAGCTAATTAAGATTATTCATATTCTTATAGACTACTAATTTCTTATAACATACAAAGTAAGTTTAATAACATAATATCAAAGAATCTTCTATAAGCTGCCTGCTGTACCTTCAGGAAGCTCCCCTTTACTAGCTCTGAGTCCTCAGTATCTTCCTGGCTGCTCTCACAGACTTTTATTTTTTTTTATTACTGAAAAAATATTCATGTCAAACTAATACACAGTTGCTTAACACAAGAGAACACAAACTTAGAGGTTACTTAATTCTAAGATATGAACTTATGTGATGTGAGGAAACCTCCATATACTGTGGGTGCCAAAAAAATGTACACACATTTATGGTGCCTGTGGCTCAGTGGGCTGGGCGCCAGCCCCATATACCAAGGGTGGCGGGTTCAAACCCAGCCCCAGTCAAACTGCAACAACAACAAAAAATGGCTGGGCACTGTGGCGGGTGCCTGTAGTCCCAGCTACCGGGAGGCTGAGGCAAGAAAATCTCCTGGGCCCAGGAGTTGGAGGTTGCTGTGAGCAGTGTGATGTGACAGCACCCTACTGAGGGTGATAAAGTGAGGCTCTGTCTCTACAAAAAAAAAAAAAAAAAAGAAAGAAGCACACACATTCAAAGAGATCTCGTTGAAAGTAAAACTGATCATTCCTCAGAGCGTACAAATTGCCAGTAAGGAAGAGGTGCACGGCATGTCCAGGTACACTTGACCAGGAATGGTACCTTCATTTTAACTTCAAAAAGTAACACATACGTAACATCCCTTAAAAAGTGTATACATTTTTGGCACCCTCTGTACAAATGAGTACAGGAACTCACAAATTCTGTTTATAAAAACAAGTTCCAAGATCCTTGAACACTCTTAACACTAAGTGTGCTAATCAAAACATGTGAATCCAAAGGTGAGAAAACTATAGTCTGTTATTTTATATAAACTGTTTTAATTTACAGAGTCTCCAGAAGTCCCAAGTCTGAGAACTATCTCTTCATTGATGTTTTTACTGACAATCTCTTCTTTGTGGAAGAACTTGGTCTTAAGTTTAAACAAAACATTCAAGAACCAGCAGATCTATTAAAAACACATTTTCAATGCAAAACATTTGAATTGTTTCCCATTTGGACAATAGCTCCCACAAAGAAAGGAAAACCAAGTGAACTAAACTACTAAAACGATGCTCATTTCTTCACCCAAAACAGAGAGGCGACATTCACATTCAGTTAATACTGTTAACTGTTTCCTGACCACAGGGCAAATGGCTGATTTTTAGAAATGTATTGGGTGAACTGAAAGAATTTTCAAGATAGGTATAACTTACAGCCCAAAATATAATCAGGGAAACTCACTGGAACCACCGACACACCAATACCTGGGGAGATTCATTGTGCAAAATTTCAAAGGGATTTAAATATTCTCAAATTAACTTTAAAAGTTAAAATGCTCAGTATCAACTATCAGATAAAATCTATACCAGTAATTTTTTGCATGTACTCTCTATGATTTGGTAGAATAAAATAATCCTTGAACCAGTAAAGAAACCATATAAGTGGGGATCATGCTAAAAATAATTATTGCTCTAATGCAGTCAGTAAAAATGTAGTAAGTGGGTACTGGCCAGAGGCCAGCACCTGCTGTGTGTTAGAAATAACGGATGTGGAATTGAAATGGCTCTAGAGCAGCGGTTCTCAACCTGTGGGTCGTGACCCACAGGAACTGTATTAAAGAGTCAGGGCATTAGGAAGATTGAGAACCGCTGCTCTAGAGGGTAACAGTGCTGAGACCCAAAGGCTGAAGGATTAAATGAGGTAGCAAATATAAAGAACCTAGAATGTAGCTGGCATTTTCAAGGCCTCAATAATGGTCTTTACTAATTATTTTAGTGATAAAATCCAAACAATCATACAATATGATAATACATTATCAAATAAAATTAGACAAGCTTTCCAGAGGTGGTGCTAGTAGACAGTCATCCTGGGGTTGGGATCCTATTAAGTAGAGAGTCAAGATAATTAGTATAATTTAGGAGAGAGGTACTTTGAGATGTTACATCAAAGATAGTTGTGACCAGAGCAAGAAATAACCATCTGGGCTCGGCGCCTATAGCTCAACTGGCTAAGACGCCAGCCACGTACACCTAAGGTGGCGGGTTCGAATCCCCAGCCCGGACCCGCCAAACAACAATGACGGCTGCAACCAAAAAATAGCCGGGCGTTGTGGCAGGCGCCTGTGGTCCCAGCTACTTGGGAGGCGGAGGCAGGAGACTCGCTTGAGCCCAGGAGTTGGAGATTGCTGTGAGCTGTAATGCCACGGCACTCTGCCCAGGGGGACAGCTTAAGGCTCTGTCTCAAAAAAAAAAAGAAATAACCATCTGGACAGTAAGAAATAAAGGAAGTGAAAAGTGAAGTCAAGTCAGAAAGCAGGCGCCAGCCCCATATGTCGGAGGTGGTGGGTTCAAACCCAGCCCTGGCCAAAAAAAAAAGTCCCCCCAGAAAGCAGGGCCACAGAGAAGTGTGAAGGGACTAAGCCTTATTTATCAAATAAAACCCAGGGGTAAACTTCTTGGTGTAGCAATCCAGACATGACCCCAGAATCCATGGCCCCCTAAGGAGAGCTAATCTGTCACCCTGGATTCATCTGCAGCTCAGACATGTTGTGTTTGACGGCTCTCAGCTTTGGCAACTCTATTTCTTCTCTTACCAGTTAGGTGATTGAAACTGTAATGATAACCTTAAACTGGATGATTCAAGGTACTGTCTATTCAGAATTATCAGTCATGTGAGCTACCACTTGTATTTGAGCCTCGCTAGGCCTCAGGAAAATATAAGTGGAGCGGTAATTTGTAGTTAATGGCTACAATAAGCTATGTTTATTAGAATCTTGTAGAAAGGTGGCAGTTGTAGTTAAAAACAAAATGAAGTTAGCACTGTCAGGATTTGAAATTCAATGTTTTCTGAACTGACACAAACCTAAGACATCTGTTGAGTCTCTATTAGTTTTAATGTATCTGTCTATTAGATAGTTTTTTATAAGGACACATTAAAATATCTCCTTTTATACTCTGAGGAAAAAAACCTCAAATAATAAAGTCCTGAAAGTTCATAGTTCAAAATATTATGTAAGTCAGAGAAGAAACATTAACTGCAGCTGCCCCCACTGTTAGCACTATAGAAAGGCAGCTGGTTTGAAGCCCTGCTCTGGGCAGCTAAGTCCCCTGACAAAGGTCCTCTTAGGTCTTCATTTCCTTACCTCAGATTTAGGGTTGCACTTGCTTCACAATGACTGCTGGCAAGTCAGACAGATGATCGTGGATCTTTCTCTCTTTTTCTTTTTTTGTAGCATCACAGCAACCTCCAGTTCTCGGGCTTAGGTGATTCTCCTGCCTCAGCCTCCTGAGTAGCTAGGACTACAGGCACCCACCACAATGCCCGGCTATTTTTTTGTTGCAGTTTGGCCAGGGCTGGTTTCGAACCCGCCACCCTCGGTATGTGGGTTGGGTGCCCTACTCACTGCGCCACAGGCGCTGCCCGATCATGAAACTTTTCTTTTCTTTGAGACAGAGTCTCAAGTGGTAGCCCTGGGTAGAGTGCCATGGAGTCACAGCTCACAAGAACCTCAAACTCTTGGGCTTAAGCGATCCTTTTGCCTCAAGCCTCCCAAGTAGCTGGGACTACAGGCATCCACAATGCCCAGCTATTTTTTTGGTGATAGTCATCATTGCTGTTTGGCAGGCCCGGGTTGGATTCGAACCTACCAGCTCTGGTGTATGTGGCTGACACCTTAGCTGCTTGAACTACAAGCACTGAGCTGGAACTTTTTCTATTATCACTATTATTACTACTAATAATGACGCTAGACTCCATAATACCTTCTACATATAATTCTAACTAATTTTCATGCATCTTGTTCTTAGCATTGAGTGCTTTATTTATGTTTGCCATCTTCAGAAATATCTGATTGTTCTCTTGGTTTTCCTCTCTAACCCTAAAATGCAAGGATTGTGTTTGCATGTACTCTGAAAGAGGTTGGTCTCATTTAACCTTTAGTTATTGCTAGTATTTTTGTAGAAATGAGGTCTCACTATGTTGCCCAAGCTGGTCTTGAAACCCTAGCTTCAAATGATCCTCTTACTTCAGAGGGCATGAGCCTCTGAGCCCAGTCTAATCTATGATTATTTTAAATAAACTAGCTATTTTACTTAACAGTTATTAAAATTATGTGTACATTTTCCATTTAATAGAAACCATCACATATATGAACTATATCAGTTATTTAAAATAAAACACAGAACCATTTTAAGGATTTAATGGGATAACAAAGAGCTAAGCACTAAGTCTGGCTCATAAGATGTTGCAAAAGCTGTCCAGACACACTTCAAATCCATAGAAACATAACAGTCACAAATTGCAAAATTTAGTAAATGGTAATACAGTAGAACCTACATGACTGACCACCTCCCTTACAATGACCACTTTGTCAAGTTGACCTCATTTTCACAGACTGGACATGCATCACATGTACATATCAGTACAGTAGGCCTAGTTCCTTATGTTGACCAGTTTATTACAGTCCCTTGGGTGGTCAACCTACAGAGTCTCAACTGTATTTTAAATGTACTTACACATGTTTCAGTGACACTGCACTTTAGAAAAATACTGAAAAAGGATCCTGGAGGTACTGTGAGTTGATCAAACTGGGACTCTTCTCTATAAGGAATTCAGATGCTTACAGTCTAATTTAGGGGTAGGTGCGTTAGGTATATAAGGACAAAAGAGGAGGGCATGTTAGGTTCTAATTATAGGTCAAGATGAAAGGGGCTGCCTTTTAAATTTCTAAATGGGGCATCATTGTTATAGTGTGGAAAATTCAACATCTCAGCCAAGAATAATTAAAGGTAAGCAGCTGTAAGCCTGTTTCAACGGCAGGCCAGGGGAAGAATAAGTTGTTGACCTGTATCAGAATTAACTACAACGAGAATAAAGAGCAAGGACTATCTTCCCCATTCTGGAACTGTACCCAAACATAATTCTTTAGGTTATATAAACCCATGCAACCCTCTGAAGGATACCAGGCAAAAGATAATTATTCTCTTTCCCAATAAACAGAAAAATCAACATACCATATAATAAATAAAAATTAACCCAAGGAAAAAAGATCTTTCTTCCAATTAATTCCTTCAACTCAGAGGTCATGAGATAAAACAAACACTGTCATAACTTACTTAGGAAAAGAGCAGTTCTCACTTGCCAAGCCTAGCTGTTGGGGGTGACTGACACATACCAAGGATAAAACAAAATGTCTCAACTCAAGGCTAAGAAAGAAATGACATATGTTACCTTTGTAAGTCGATCTGTCTCTCTGCTGGTGCTGCCTTTCTGGCTACATCTTGCAGTTTGGGTGCTTTGGCATTACCTGCTTCCAAACCCCCAGGGATCTCCTGACTAGCTGCAGCTCTTTTCCTTCCCTTGTTAAGTGGTTTATTGGTATCATCATTTTTGGTTGCATTGCCCTGAGATTCAGACTTGGGTCGACGTCCCCGCCTAGATTTGGCTGGGGCGGCTGGTCCTGATTCATCCGCCTTCTCATCTGTTTTTTGTTGGATGTTCTCTGCACCAGCTGCTGCTACTGTTCTTTTCTTTCCTCGATCACTGCTGATGTTGCCCTGGGTAGGCTGATCAGAATTAATTTCCTAAAAGAGCATGAAACAATTCTATAAACATATAAACTCCTTAAACATCAATGATTTATCCTAGAAAAAAGTATTTTAAAGAAATTGGGACTCAGGGCGGTGCCTCTGGCTCAAAGGAGTAAGGTGCCAGCCCCATATGCTGGAGCCCTAGCCAAAAAGCTACAAAAAAAAAAAAAAAAAAGAAGAAATCGGGACTCTAGGGCTTCTAGTTAATTGCTTACATCAAGATAGCAAAGTAAGGTCCTAGAGGGTCTGGGGTAGGTGTATATCACAGTACTTGGCATTTTTTTTTTTTTTTGAGACAGAGTTTCACTATGTTACCCCTGGAAAGAGTGCTGTGGCAGCACAGTTCATAGCAACTTCAAACTCTTGGGCTTAAGCAATTCTCTTGCCTTAGCCTCCTAAGTAGCTGGGACCACAGGCGCCCGCCACAAAACGCCTGGCTATTTTTTTCTGTTGCAGTTGTCATTGTTTAGCAGGCCTGGGCTGGGTTCAAACCTGCCTGCGTAGGTGTATGTGCCTGGTGCCCTAACTACTGAGATATGGATGCTGAGATAGTACCTGGCACATTTAATGTGCACAATAATTGTGTATTAAAAGCACAAGCAATATATACAAGATAAAGAAAACCTACCTGTTTTCCTGTCATTCCAAATGATCTCCCACTCCCTCCGTGCAGTCTGTTACCAAGGCTACAGTCTAGTGGCGTCATCACACAGCTACCATAACCTCCAACTCCTGACTGACCTGAAGTGAGCCTCTTGCCTCAGTCTCCAAAGTAGCTGGGAATACAAGCACATGCCACTACGCCTGACTCCTATTTTCTATTTTTGGTAGAGACAGGGTCATACTCTTTCTCAGGCTGGTCTCAAACCCCTGAGCTCAAACCCCTTCCTGCCTCAGCCTCCCAAAGTGTTACGATTACAGGGATCAACGGCTGCACCCACCCCCCAAAGAAAAGGCCTTTGACAGATATGCTTTAAATTTATCATTTTTCAAAAAGAATGTTTTCATAATTCAACATGCTATTTTCTCTCGGATGCACCTAGCTATGGTGATCTGTGTAGTCTGTGACACGAAGGACTTTGACTTCTCCCTCCATTCACTCGTCTCTTTTTACAACATCAGTGATTAACCTTTTCTCTGAGTATTTCTTGCTCCAGTTTAGCACATATTAAGTCATTGAAAATCTTCAAAGTTCTTAATCTGTAATTTTAATTGGAAAAATGTTCAAAATAATAAAATTCCATTTTACTGTAAGAAACATAAATGGAGAAATAATAGTTTTCAGAATGAAAGTGACCTTTATATGAAGGATATTTAGGAAGTGTTATAGTTTTTATTGATAACCTTAATAGATTAAAAGGAAAAAGAGTAACACTATTATCATCCCCAAAAAATCAGACTATATACATACATGTGTGTATATGTGTATCAGGCGTCCTCAAACTACGGCCCATGGGCCATATGCAGCTCGCCTAGGACATTTACCAGCCTGCCAACAGTCTGAGGGACAGTGAACTGGTGCCCTATTTAAAAAGTCTGAGGACCCCTGGATACATATAGATGTGTATATACATATAAATTTTTTTTTCCCTTGAGACATGGTCTAGGCTGTAGTGCACTGACCCAATCACAGCTCACTACAGTTTCAAACTCCTTACCTCAAGTGATCCTCCTGCCTCAGCTTCCTGAGTAGATAGAACTACAGATGCACACCACTCTGCTCAGCTTATTTTTCTATTTGTTTTATTTTTTGCCCAGGCTGGCTTTAAAATCTTGGCCTCAAGTGATTTTCCCACCTTAGCCTCCCACAGAGCTGGGACTATACGTGTGTGCTATCACATCTGGCTTTCTTTCTTTTTTCTTTTTCTTTGAGACAGAATCTCACTTTGTTGTCTAGGGTAGAGTGCAACGACATCACCACAGCTCACTGCGACCTCCCATTTCTGGGCTCAAGTAATCCTCTGCCTTAGCCTCTCGAGTAGCTGAGACTACAGGCATGTGCCAACATATGGGGATAATTTTTTCTGTTTTTAGTAGAGATGGGATCTTGCTCTTGTTTAGGCTGCTCTTGAACTCCTGACCTGGAAGGATCCTCCCATCTTGGCCTCTTGGAGTGCTAGGATTATAGGCGTGAGGCACCATGCCCAGGTGTCTGCCATCTGGCTATTTAAAAAATATATTTTTTAGAGATAGTGTCTTGCTATGTTGCCTAAGCTGGTCTCAAACTAGACTTAAGACATCCTCCCGATACTGCTGCCCCAAGTGATGAATGAGACTACAGATATGGGCCACCTTGCTGGGCCTGTATCTTCTTAATTAATTTTCATTTTCCCTAGAAAAATCTTTTCAGAATGGCTGAGGAAAAGACATTACACATCTTCATTTTAAGAAAAAAATGACTGAAGTTGGCAGGTGCAAACCCAGCCTGGGCCAGCTAACCAAAAATGGCAACTGCAACAAAAAATAGCCGGGCATTGTAGTGGGCGCCAGTAGTCCCAGCTACTTGGGAGGCTGAGGCAAGAGAATCTCTTGAGCCCAGGAGTTCTCTTATAGCCTGCTGTGATGCCATAGCACTCTAACGAGGGAGACATAGTGACACTCTGTCTCAAAAAGAAAAAACACACACACACAATACTTGGAAATTATTAATTTGAGAAAATCCACAAATCAGTGTTTTAATTTAGGGTTAATTTTCATGTTAAGCTTCACTTTAAGAGAATAGGCAATACACAAAAGGACCAAGAGTAAGGTGGCCCACAAGAGCTGAACTACAAAAACAGTACGTTGGCT